ACCCCCCCCCACCCACGCAGGGAACCCCTCCCAGTCCACGTCCCTGCACTACCTGAGCCCCTACCAGCCCAACGCCTACGCCATGGCCCTCAGGGCGGTGGGGGACATCATCCAGGACTATGACAGTGACAAGATGTTCCCCGCCCTGGGCTTCGGTGCCAAGATCCCACCCGATGGACACGTGTCCCACGAGTTCCCGCTGGTGAGGGGCTGTCCCCAAGGGGGGGGTGAGGGACGTGGTGACATTGGTGAGGAGGGTGATGGGGTTGGGGACACGGTGACATTGGTGTTGTCAGTGACATTTTTTTCTACACCTGTCCCACCAATTCCCACTGGTGAGGGACTGTCCCCAAGGGTGGGGTGAGGGACGTGGTGACATTGGTGTCACCGTGGTGTCTATACCCACCCCATGAATTTCCACTGGTGAAGGTCTGTCCTCAGGGATGGGGTGAGGGATGTGGTGACAGTGGTGAGGACAGTGATGTGGTGAGGAACACAGTGACATTGATGAGGACAGCGATGGGGTTGGGGACATGGTGACATTAGTGAGGACAGTGATGGGGTTGGGGACATGGTGACATCAGTGAGGACAGCGATGGGGTTGGGGACATGGTGACATTAGTGAGGACAGCGATGGGGTTGGGGACATGGTGACATTAGTGAGGACAGCGATGGGGTTGGGGACATGGTGACATTGGTGTTGTCACTGGCATTTTTTCTACACATCCCATGAATTCCCACTGATGAGGGTCTGTCCCCAAGGGTGGGGTGAGGGACATGGTTTAGGTGACATAGATTCAGGGACACGGTGACATAGATGAGGAGGGTGATGGGGTGAGGGACATGGTGACATTGGTGAGGACAGTGATGGGGTTGGGGACACACACGTGTCCCACGAGTTCCCGCTGGTGAGGGGCTGTCCGCAGGGGGGGGGTTGGGGACATGGTGACAGCCACAAAGGAAGGTGATGGGGTTGGGGATGCGGTGACATCGCTGTTGTCACCAGTTTTTAATGTGTCTCACTAGTTCCCGCTGGTGAGGGGCTGTCCCCAAGGGTGGGGCTGGGGACATGGTGACAGCCACAAAGGAAGGTGATGGGGTTGGGGATGCGGTGACATCGCTGTTGTCACCAGTTTTTAATGTGTCTCACTAATTCCCACTGGTGAGGGGCTGTCCCCAAGGATAGGGTGAGGGACGTGGTGACATCAATGAGAAGGGTGATGGGTTTAGGGACATGGTGACATCAGTGAGGAGGGTGATGGGATTAGGGACACGGTGACATCAGTGAGGAGGGTGGTGGGATTAGGGACATGGTGACATTGGTGTCACCAGGGTTTTTTCTACACATGTTCCATCAGTTCCTGCTGGTGAGGGGCTGTCCCCAAGGAGGATGGTGATGGGATTAGGGACACGGTGACATCAGTGAGGAGGGTGGTGGGATTAGGGACATGGTGACATCAGTGAGGAAGGTGATGGGGTGAGGGACATGGTGACATTGGTGTCACCAGGGTTTTTTCTACACACGTTCCATGAATTTCTGCTGGTGAGGGTCTGTCCCCAAGGGTGGGCTGAGGGACACGGTGACAAGGGTGTCACCAGGGTTGTCTCCGTGTCCTGCAGAACGGTGACACAGCCAACCCCGCCTGCAGTGGCATCGAGGGTGTCCTGGAGGCCTATCACCGCAGCCTGCGCCGCGTCCAGCTCTACGGACCCACCAACTTCGCCCCCGTCGTCAACCACGTCGCCCGGTACCAGGGGGGGTCCCAGCACCCTCCCCCACCCACCCAAGGGTGCTGTGACACCCGGTGTCACTCCCCGTGTCCCCTCCCCAGCTCGGCGGCAGAGGTGCTGGATGGGTCCCAGTACTTCGTGTTGCTCATCATCACCGACGGGGTCATCTCGGACATGGCGCAGACCAAGGAGGCCATCGTCAACGTGGGTCCCCTGGGGTGCTGGGTGCCCCCCGTGGGGGGCTGGGTGCCCCTGGGTGGGGGGTGAGGAGCCCCCCACCCAGAGTTGGGGTGCTCTGAGCTCTCAGGGTGCACCAACCAGTTGGGTGCTCAGGGTGCTGAGATGTGTGGGAGCCCCAAGATGTCAGGGTGCCTTGACCAGCCAGGGTTTGGGGTGCCCTGATGGGGTGCAGTGACTGTGGGTGCAACGAGCAGCTGGGGATCCCCAAGATATCAGGGTGCCCCAACCAGCCAGAGGTTGGGGTGCCCCTGGATGGGGTGCAAGGATCAGCCAGGGTCGGGGTGCTCTGAGCTATCCAGGGTGCACCAGCCAGTTGGGTGCTCGGGGTGCTGTGAGCTCTGTGGGTGCAACAACCAGCTGGGGAGCCCCAGGATATCAGGGTGCCCCAGAGTTTGGGGTGCCCCCGATGGGGTGCAGTGACTGTGGGTGCAACAAGTGGCTGGGGAGCCCCAAAATGTCAGGGTGCCCCAGTCAGCCAGGGTTTGGGGTGCCCTGATGGGGGGGCAGTGAGTTGTGTGGGTGCAGCAACCACCTGGGGAGCTGTGATCTATCGGGGTGCAAGGACCATCCAGAGTTTGGGGTGCCCCTGGTTGGGGTGCAAGGACCAGCTGGGGCTGGGGTGCTCTGACCCATCTGGGGTGCACCAGCCAGTTGGGTGCTTGGGGTGCTGGGGGGGGCCCCAGCCAGTTGGGTGCTGGGGGTGCTGCGAGCTCTGTGGGTGCAACAACTGGCTGGGGAGCCCCGAGATGTCAGGGTGCCCCAACCAGCCAGGGTTTGGGGTGCTCCCAGATGGGGTGCAAGGATCAGCCGGGGTCGGGGTGCTCTGACCCATCTGGGGTGCAGGGGGTGCTGTGATCTGTGGTGCAGTGACCAGCTGGGGACATGGGGGGACCCCGAGATATCAGGGTGCAGCCAGAGCTTGGGGTGTCCCTGGTGGGGGTGCAGTGAGCTGTGTGGGTGCAACAACCAGCTGGGTGCCCTGAGATATCGGGGTGCCATGATCTGCCAGGGACAGCGGGTGCCCCAGACTGGGGGTGCCGGGTGCGATGGTGGCCAAGGACACAGTGTCCCCT